TATGTGTGACAGGGCCACCTGTCTTTTTTTTCTTAATTTTTTTTTTATGTGTAGGTGCATGTCTTGGGGATTTAAAAATTTCAAGGCTGGTTTACTTATGCAAAGCATGCCTACGTCTGGAATACTTAGGGAAAGAAAGCGACTCCATGTTGTCCGAATTCCTCAAGGGACAGAAAAAAAATTGGAGACTGTTGAAATGCAGATTTGAAGTAATTTTTTTAAAATATTATTTTGGGTTCTGCGACATTGTGAAAAATTAAAGTTGTTGTGCAATACTTAATTCAGACATGTACCACAAGTTAATGGTAGACTAACACTGGGGGGTGGGGTCTAGGCATCATGCTTTTGTCAGCATACTCTTGAGCTTTTAAGTCTACTATGTCTGAACTGTGGTTTCTTGTTTATCCTTTTTTCCTTAGTTGGACTGTAATGTATGGTCTGTCAACCTGTGAATCTTTAAAGTATGATTCAGGTATTGTTGTATTCTTTACTGTGTAATAAAAAAGTTGAAAAAAATCTGGATCCTCTGTCTCCCTTCCTCAGTGTGCCATGGTTGCCCACCCAGTGACCCCAGCTTGGGGAGTCCATCCTCCATGGTGCTGAATCAGATCCATAGAGTTTATTCAGCTACAAAGCATGCCTCTGTAACAGGAGTTGGCTTATCCATGCGTGGTGAGTAGGGAATGATGTCAGAACTATGCAAAAGTCAAACTCTTTCACAGGGGATGTTTCTCAGGCAGGAGGAGTCAGAAGAGTGAGAGGAGAATTAGAAACTTCCATAGGAAAGGAGAGCTTGGCTTGCCTAGACTAGCTGCTGCATAGGTAGCAGGGGCCCTTTTGGCTATGTTTTGATAAAATTAGAAATGAGTATCTAAATCTGGGTCACTCTGCTCAGAGAGGTTGATCCCAACCTCATGAGGCTCTGACTCTTGGCAAGTTGTTTGGCTCCATTGTGCACACCTGAATGGTAGATCCGCTGACATGATGCACAGCTGCTTTATTTGCCTTGTCCCCTATCCTCTAATTAAAAGTCGCCGGCATTGGCACTCTTGGTTATGTAGTTAATATCCAGTATGCCTGCCTCCAACTTGCTGGAACGTCCAGTTATCCCCTCTTGACGCATAGTTTTTCATACTCCAGTTACAAAGTTGGTTAGAGTTTGAAGACCCAACCCGTCTCCCCTGCCCTGTGAATGCTGTTAATTTTTATGTGTAGTTTTAAAAACAGATGTTTTTTTAAGTATCTTACATACTGTGTTGTAGCAGAAATTCCTGTTTCCTCTGAATGTTCCAATTTTATAGGCCAAAAAAAAAAAATCATTGCAAAAAATACAGCAGGTGCCAGAGCCCATGTCTGGAGAAGAGTCGTGAAGGTGAATGCTAGTTACATGGGAGATTGGATTGGGCCCCTTCAGTTTCCTTCTTGTGGCAGCTAGGTCCCTGTTCCAAGGCCTGGCTTCTCTAACTTGTCTTCCTGGGAAATGCAGCTTTTCCAAGAACTTGGTAGTGCACACCAGTAAAAAATATAAGAACAGATTTTTTTTAATGGTGGAAACACCCTCACTCCCACGCTTCTGACAGTTGGGGTTGGATATTTAATTTGATAGTTACTCCTTTTTTTCCACAGAAGAAAGGCCAGCCTGACCCAAGTTGCCTATTTTTAATGTGTTAATGCATCTTATTTTCTCTTCAAAGTGAAAAAGGCCAGAAACTAGCAGATAGAAATGGAACCCATTGACGTAGTTCTCTTATAAGCAGTTCTTGCAAATGCCTCTGTGACGTTTTCATTCAAGTGGATATGTTGGACAAATAGGGAATGGTTTTAGTTTACGTGAACAATAAGAGACTTCCAGGTGGTGGACATCATTTTTTAAAGAAGTGTGAATGATGTATCTGGTAACATTATACAAAGATGTGTCTCCCATGAAAGAACATTCAGCTATTCCCTGGAATGGATGGGGAATAAATGAGCAAAGGAGTGTTGTTCTGTATGGGTATCTCTATCCTTATTCCAAGGTGAATAAATAAAGTTGTATTTGCCTAAACCTGTCCTTGGTCAGTCTATTTTCAGTCACACTGGGGAAACGTATTTTCCCACCCCACTTCTCCATCCACACCAGCAGGGAGGTAGGACCAAAGATCTTTACTTTCAGAATTTTCAGGTTGAAATAGCATTTGTTGAAAACTTTGAGATTACACATGGGGAGTCTATGAAAATGCTTTGAGATCAAGATAATATGATTTTCTAACTTAACTATGATAAAAATAACATTCAAAGGGGAAGAAAACAGAGGGTGGGTAAAAGAAGGAATCTCTGCTTTTAGTTCCCTATGCTAACGCTCTGATGCCTGGTGTTCATTTTCAGTGACTAATACAGAGCCAACTGCGCTCAAGAAATATTCATTGTAAATACAACCTTGAGTTTGCAGCTAGAATAATGTGGTGTCATTTTACCCAGAAATGAACAAATTGGTTGGAGGAAGAGAAAGCAAGGAAAATGGTTTAACAGGCTGGAGGAATGGGTCAGAAATGAAAGATGGAGCCATATGTAGTTTAATCAGAAAGGGATGAGGTGGCAAGGTGACTACAGTTTCTGAATATCCGAAGATATAAATGACAAAGCGGGGAGGGAACTGTGCAGTTCATTATGTGGTGGTTGACTATGGTTACTGCTGAGAAACAGATAGTTAATTGTTATAGTTTTCTGTTAATTTATTCACAAAAGACGCCACCAATAAAACATTAGAAAATACTTTAGGCATCTAACAGCCCACAGTGAAAACAGTGATACAGTCAGGACCTCACAGTCTCTCCCCTGACCACTTAGTGTTCTTCTACCTTCAGATTCCTATCTCCATTCCCTCTTCTCACTGCTTTGTTCACCTTGAGTTTCCTTCACTGTCTTTAGGTCTCCCTCCCTCCCTCTCTTTTCCTATGTGTCTACTCTACAAATAATGGGGCTTTTTATTTTTGAAACTATTTCTCTTTTTAAAAAGTTATTTATTTAAAGAGAAAGGGCCTCACTCTCTTGCCCAGGCTGGAGCACAGTGACACTCTCACAGCTCACTGCAGCCTCAAATTTCCAGGCTCCAGCAATCCTCCCACCTCAGTGTCCAAAGCAGCCGGGACTACAGGCGTGCACCACCACACCTGGCTGATTTATTTTTCTGATTTATTGTAGAAATGGGGTCTTGCTATGTGGATCAGGCTGGTCTCCAACTCCAACTGTGCACATAAGGGATCTAGGTTGCATGCGCCTTATGAAAATCTAATGCCTGATGATCTGTTACTGCCTTCCATCTCCTGCAAATGGGACCATCTAGTTCCAGGAGAACAGGCTCAGGGATCCCACTGATTCTACATTATGGTGAGTTGTATAATTACTTCACTATCTATTACAATGTAATAATAATAGAAATAAAATACACAATGCATATGATGTGCTAGAACCTTCCCCAAACCATCCCCTACCCTGGTCTGTGGAAACATTGTATTCCATGACACCAGTTCCTGGTGCCCAAAAGATTGGGGACCACTGCCCTAAAGGATCTGAAAAGCCTCACATTGGAATAATTTGGTAATTTTGTATACTGCAACATTTCCCAAACTTATTTGAACATTTTCACAGGCATTTATTCACATGAGCTTCTGTAACATGTTTTCCCTTTTCTTCTATCACATTTATCACAACCAAGACCTCACATAGAAATCTTACCAGTCTCTCCCCTGTGTTTCATTTCCAAACACAGAACTTAGCTTCTTATTATCTCCAACTACATACACCTAACAGACCAGTCTTCTCCAAGTTAAACTTTTAAAAGTAGGTGAATTCAGAAATCTTCACTGGCACCTCAGTGGTTGTGTTCGTTTATTCCATCTGCTATAACAAAATGCATTAGACTATGTTATATGCAGAAATTTATTGCTCCACAGTTCTGGAGGCTTGGAAGTCCAGGATCGAGGCATCAGCAGGTTGAGTGTCTGGTAAGGGCTCACTCTGCCTCATGGATGGTACTATCTGTGTGTCCTCTCATGCTGGAAGGGGCAAACACTCTCCCTTCAGCCTCTTTTCTAAGGCACAAATCCTGCTTACGAAGGCAAAGCCCTCATGACTAAATTACTTCTTTGTTTTTTCTTTTTTTTTTACATGGAATTTTGCTCTTGGTGCACAGGGTGGAGTACAATGGCACAATGTCAGCTAACTGCAACCTCTGCCTCCCAGGTTCAAGCGATTCTCCCGCCTCACCCTCCTGAGTAGCTGCAACTACAGGCACATGCCACCATGTCAGACTAATTTTTGTATTTTTAGTAGAGACGGAGTTTCACCATGTTGGCCAGGCTGGTCTCGAACCCCTGATCTCAGTTGATCCACCCGCCTCGGCCTCCCAAAATGCTGGGATTACAGGCGTGAGCCTCTGGCCCAGCCATGACTTAATTACCTCCTACAAGGCCCCACCACCTAATACTGTCGCATTGAGAATTAGGTTTCAACACATGAATTTTGAAAGGATACAAACATTCAGGCCATAGCAGTGGTCTTCAGAATAAAGGGTGCAAGTCAGTGTCTGGATTTAATGTTCCTCCTTTCCTTCCACTTCTATGTTCCACTACTATCCTTATAAACTTCCTTACCAGCCTTACTTAATAACTTACAATTCCTACAAATTACCTTTCTTATTCTTGTGCCTTTGCCCACACCTTCTTCACCATTAGAGTGCTTTTGATGGTCCCCTCCAGTGAGAAGAGTCCCCGTTGACTCAACAACCCCACTTCCTCCTCTTCTGCAGCACAAACAATATTGTCCCATTCTTTGAGCTCTTCACCATTGTGCCATGCCGCTTCTCCAGCATCGTGGGAGCTGGAGAATGAGGAGTTAGAGTGGGGAGTTAGGTCACTTTCCAGTCTGCCTAACTGTATGAACTTGGACAAAAGTGCCTAACCTCTTTTTTTTTTTTTTGAGACGGAGTTTCACTCTTGTTACCCAGGCTGGAGTGCAATGGC